TACAAAATAACAGTAAATGCAGTGATCTGTAGTTTTGAGGAGGAACAAAGTGCATGAACACCACAGTTTTACTTGTAAACAGTATAAATTAAAGTTTCAAAAGTTTTCACAATTTAGAGCCTTATTTATATAATATACAGACTTTCATTGAAAGTTGGCACACACAATTGGCACCAAATTTCTTCCTCATACTAGTATGAAAATACACTTCTATTTTAAATACTTTGCTTTATATTTAGTGGGAAACCTTCGCAGCTTGGGTTTATTTGTTACTCAGCCACTTAATAACCTATAACCCCACCTATCTATAGCCACAACACAAAGAGCAGAAATTGTAGAAGGACTTCTTTTCACAAACTGAGTAACACATTTGAACCTACATTCCACATATCCAAGTCAAATTTTCTATTACCATAGGAAGACTTTTCTCACAAAACAAGATAGGTGAAAAAAAAAAAAAAAGAATAATTATGAATATTGATGTTACCAGTCCTAAAGATACCAGTAAGAAAGGATTAGGTCTGACAGTAATACAGTGGGAGAGAAATACTAAAATAACTGGTGCTGTAAAAAGCCTCTGCAATCCATAAGTAACCTGGACAGGGTCAAAGGGACAGCACTATATGCTATATCAAATCTGGCAGGGGTATGGGTAAAGGGCATTTGAACTGCACATGAGATATTGGTCCATTTTTTTAATTACCTAATACAGTCAGAAACATTTTGGAAGTAGGTTTCTTTGTAATATAATGAAGTTCCTTGCCTATATGAATGCATATCTCCCTTTAATTTTTGAATTAGGGATCTTTCACTGAAATCTTTCTCCCTAAGAAGTTACCTAGCATTGCTGTACAGCAGTGGATTTCGGAAAAAAGAAAACCTCTTTAAAAGGACCTATATAGGAACAGATTGCCTGTACTAGCACTAATTAGCTTAATTGGGAATTTGCATGGGTGCACGTTTACATGATGCTCCTTGCAGGAGTGGCCTGTAGGTATTTTCCCTGGAATACATTTTAACAGGATATAGAGATTTAAAACTAATTTATTTTTCCTAAAATAATTGAGGATTTTGTAGTCAATACAAAAATAGCTACACAGAAAAATACTTAAACCATGTTAGGCCATAACTACTTCTAAGAACAATTAAATGCAGCTGCCGCTTGTCTTATTAAGCCACTAATGTATGCTAAAGAGGCACAAAGTGGTTACAAGAACTTATGTGATCAAAACATTTTCAGACCATCTCACAGATATTATTGCTTCAGAAATATGTACTACGCCAAAATTAAAAAGGGTCAAAACCAGTACAGGATAAAATAATACTTCCGCGTCAGCTAAACAAAAATAATTTATTTACAGATCATGAGGAAAAACATGAAAGGCTTTTCCTTTTCAAATAAATACATGTATTAAGGGAACACATCCACTAACTAAAAAAATAAATTTGTGCGATTATATGAATAGTTCTTATGTATTAAACAAAACCATAAAAACATTCAAAGGACAATAGTGCAACCATGTCAGAGCATAAAGCTGATGTTTGCCATTTTATATTTTAGGTAGAAGACAAGGCAACCGTTCAAAGCAAAACAACAGAAAACTATATATTCACTATTTCCACGTATAAATACGTGCTTTAATTTCCAAATTTCATTTTTTTTTCCAGGTTCTTTTGCTTTAACGTGAATTCTACATGGTACTATGTGAATATTCAGACTTGATGGAGCTGATCATCATAGGATTTCTAAAACCAGTTCCAACTGAGCTATAGCTACATCCCCATTTGGTAGTGCTTTTTCAGTAACTTAGACATTGACCATAAAAATAGTCAAAGGTAAAACTTTGTTAACAGCTTCCAACCCTGAATGTTATTTAAAAAACAACACTGTTTTAAAGTTGCTTTACATGACACATAAAATTACAGAACTTAAATAAAGGGATTTAGTTTATATAATTTGGCCAAATAACACGAGAGATTTTGGTCTTTAAATAAGTGAAAAAAAGTATCCAAAATATCAATGGCCCAATCCAGCAGAGAGAAAAAAATAGATATGAAGGCAGGTCCTTCAACTAGGCTCTCTACAGGCATGTCCATGGCACATCCACATGGCACTCTCTGTATGATAAGAATCTTGGATATGAAAGCAATTACTGCACATGCATGCACGCTGCTAACTCTGGGATGTGGAACCCCTGTTTACAAGAGGTACCTCATAATGTTGTTGTAATGGTGAAGAGAAGGCCAAGGGGCTTCACCCTACAGATACTGAAAGGGGAGTTAACAAGATTGCAGCCAAACACTTCTTGGTAGCAGGAGATGATACAATGGCAGAGGAATGGCTACAAGTTTGTAGCCACCTGGGAAACTGAGGTTGGACATGGAGAGGAATATTTATCCAGAAGGGAAGTGCAAGCACTCCCAGAATGGTGGTGGTACCTCTGTCTTTGGGGGTTTTCACAACCTGGATAGCCAAATACACAACTAACCTGATCTAGGGCTGGCAACAGTCCATCTCTGCTTGGGTGTTTGGGAGGTTGGACAAAACCACTTCCAGAAATCCTTCTTGCAAACAACTTTATGTGGTTCTCTGTACCCAACCAAAATATTTTACTCATGCAGGTGTGTCAACAAGATTTAGGTAAACATATTTCACCTCATTTACTGCAGGCCAAGACCACAGAGCTCGTCAACGCTGTGGTTCAGGAGACACACATAAAACACTGAGCATCAGTCTAAGCCCTACAAGTTAACAGAAGTTAATTACCGCAAAGGAGCAGTATTTTGGAATGTAAGTAACAGCTTATAATCATGACCTTCTCACCCTGAGCAAATGCAAACACCTACAGGTTGTAAGCTTACACATCAGAAACCAAGTGCTGGATCATCTCCCTCTCTCCCCTGTACTGCTGCAGGAAGAACTATCTGCAAGTACAACCCACATTCATTCTGCTTCTATTTCACTCCTTTGGAGAGAGAGAAGCTTTTATTCACAAAGAACACAGAAGAGGCCCTCATCACCGCACTCAGTTAAGCGTGGTTTTCTCCTCGGAGAAGCTAATTACAGCTGTAATTTTCTTGTTTAAACAACACAGGGTTAATAGTAAGCCACACATATGTGAGCAGGCGTATCCCTGGTACACCTGTATCTCCTTCATTCTCTGCCACCTGCTCCACGTAAGTCCCAGGACTACAGTGAGGCCTCTTGTACTGCTGGGTGGCAAGATGCTACAACCTTAAAGTCTCCGGCATGGAGTAAGGTAGTGTGTGAAGATTCCCTTAGCACTTCAAAAAGGCCACCAAACATGTTTTCTCCTCTAGGGCTGAAGTACAATACAGTGAAATAAAATGTCTTATTTCTTCTGGCATTAGATTTCTCTGTCTTGTTAAGAACAAGCTTTCAGATAGTTACCTGAGGATTAGCTGCTCTGATCTAGAGGTTTGAAGGAATGCCTAAAAATACTGCTCTTCCTACTTTAAAACTGTTGTGTTTTTTTTTTTTAATTATGAACCATCCTGTTTCTGAGAACTCCACGTTTTATAAAACTGATAACTCAGTATAGGCTATACAGTGTTCAAATATAGTGCTGATAAAACACAGTAACAGCTGCTAGTCATACAGATTTACAATCAGTCCACAAACCTTTATCCAAGGTTGATTTACTGAGTTATGTTTCAGCCTGGAGGTATTTTATTAATATACACAGAAGAGTCTGAAACAGTTTGCTGGCTCTGAAGGGGCCTTTTCCCATTCCCATCAAAATCAGTGAAAGCTGAGAAGAATTGGATCATGATTGTTAACTGTAGAAAAACCTACAATTTTTACTACACTGTAGGACTGTTGGGAACTATTATAAGCAATAATAACTCAGTTTTTAGAGATGCTGACACCTGAAGCTACCACCCACTGGTGAGTTTCTCAGAATTTTCCTAAAATCAGGCAAAGGAATTCTCATTAAAGTAAGTGGGTGCTGTTAATTTAGGGGACTTCTTTTAATGAACCGTTGATACAGATGCTTGTGCATGTGTAGCAATTCTTTCACGTACAGGTTTAAAATGTAAAAGATGCATAAAGAATACCCATTAAAACAGACACCTCTGTACTATTACAATCCCTCAATTAGTGTCTAAATGGAAGACATTTGAAAAACAAGGGAAAAATTATAACCCATACCTCTCTGTAATACTAATAATGATCTAGTCTAAACAAACAGGCAGGTACTGGATCATTAATTCATCTCAGTAATCCTATGTATCACAGGTATTATAGCCTCTCTGGAATTTTGAATGGTAATGATCCATGCAAATGTTCCTTTCACTTCTGAGCTGTGTAGGATCAGATGTAAAGTCTGTTTCTCAGTTCTGAATCAAACCCCAGCTCCCACAATTTAATTAATTCTAACTCACCAACTTTTGCAAAATTACACTGGACCCCCACGCACCTGCCACTGTCTTATTCCAGGAGAGACCATTCTGCTTCATGCCCTGAACTTAGGGTTTACCTAGATCTAGGCAACCCTTTAATGGTTTGGAGTTGTCTTGGAAACATTTCATCAACTTATAACTTAAGGCCTTCAAAAAACTAGATAAACAGAAATGAGCAAATAGAGATTAAATTAATTGAAGATGCATTTTTTTCTTTTCCTATGAGAGATACACAATATTATCATGTTCTTTATGTAAGAAATATTGAGCCCATAAAGAAACAAGCAGGTAAAGAAGATAAAATATATTACAATATTGTATGCGGTGACTACTGCAGCACTGATTCTGAGCTCACTTCATTGACTTATATTACTTAAGAACAGTGAAATCAGAGCCTATGAGACAAAGCAAGTACACAAATACAAATGAGTAGAAAGTAGAGTCTGGATTTTTAACATCATGTGCAATTTCTAAATACATAAATGTATAAATCCCCAATAAAAAATACATTACTGAAATCCTTCATTTTTTTTTTTAATATGCAAGTTACTTAGGTCAGGAAAAGTAGCTGTCACTTAAACATTGCAGCAGTTTTTCGTGAGTGATGATTTTTTGACAGGTGTCCCAGCCAGGCTGGTTACTGACCTTGTATCATCTTGATTATCACTTCGTTTTCGCACTTCCCTGTAAAAAACGAACCAAGCAAACGAAAGAATGCACTCAATTAACAGATTTCTAGTCATGTTCGCTGTTACGTGTCTTCCAGTATATCTTACAGACCTTAACATCGTCTATTGTGTGGTTAAAACTATGGGCTTTAGTGCACAGAATCAACGTAAGTTTCCAATTTGGGAATCGTTTGTATTTTTATACAAATCATAGTTAGTGATAGGAATACATAATTTCTGATATGTAATAACATAAATAATAATAAAAACAGTGTTATGTTTTCCTTTCCTTTTATCATTTTTCTTTAATTTGTTTGCTTCAGTATATTACAATAGAAACAAAGTATATTCATAGCTGAAAGTATACAACTAAATAACTGCAATTTCAGGTATAAATTTACCCTCAGAGGAAAATGCACATTGTTGGATATCCTATTAAATGCAGACTTAAAAGTTTTCTATGTGTGAATGATTATTGATCTGTATTCTTACTATAGGCCCTCTAAAACGTCAAAAGCCAGCTCTAAAATTTCTTGCTTTTATACATATATACACATATATATACAAAAAATAATTAAAGTCCTCTTCATATTAATTGAATATTGATTAAGTTCCTCTCAGAACACTGTGTCATTCAACAAAACGTTAATGAAATGTTCATTTAGATACTTTTATTTAAAAATGAAATGCTTCTTTCAAAGACTATAAATTACTGAGACTTGAGTAAAGAAATTGCAGCCAACCATTCCAAGGTTCTGGGTAATATCTAGACTACTTGAGGGTCAATGAACCTTGTGAAGAAAAATACCGATTTTTTTTTTTTTTTTTTTTAGATTCTGAAAAAAGAGGCTTCAACAGCTGAAACATTTTTTTATCCTTGAAACAGTTAAGCAAAGTTATCATTTTTAAACACGAGAGATATTTTTCCAACTGTGATTAGTGTTATATAACTGTGCCATGCATGTTCTCTAGTTTCATAATCCACTGCTGCATTCATGCCCAGGTTCTTGGAAATGAGTCATTTAACAAGCTAGCAGTTAACTTCACATTGACAGTGACAGACAAATCAATGCCTGTGTTCTTGCTGCATCTCTGATGGATGCATTTTCCTGGAAATGTGGGTGCTCTTGAAAGTCCCGTGTGAAGACGCAGTGAGCTTCTCTAGAAAGCCAGTATTTTGTACTCAAGCCATGACAATCAGTAGTATCTTAACACTGAGTAATCAAATACTGACCAAATTTCAGAAAGTTTGATTATTGCATTAGGCTGCTGCAAAAATCACATTAACATGGTTTGCAATTCTGACCTTGAGCTCCATGTATTAAACTGAAAAATCAGAGGCTGAGAATTCATTACATACTACTAGCCCTTCAAAATTATATTGTAACCAAGAATGGTTTGGAAAGGTAGAAGAAGTGTAATGTTTGGCCCACACATTATCACAGAAATACAGGTTGTTAAATGGATGTAATCAGAATTTCTATCTTTAGAGAAAGGAACATCAAAGAAAATATGTGCGATTAGAATGGTCAGTAATAAAATGGAATATATATTAAAATATGTGAAAGAATGAAGAATTGATTATATATATATAATTACACGCATTTGGAATTAATTTAAGAATTAAGAAAGTAAATCTATGTACCAATAAAAAAATTCAATTCATTCACCAATCAGGTTTTAAACTGTGAGCTCCACAGCTGAGCTCTAATTTTAATACTGTGACAGCTTTTTAACATTTGCAAGCAAAAATGTTACTGAATTAAACTGAGAATAAATCCTGTCTTGCATTTATCTGTAAAGATTTAACATGGCATTCTTTTTTAAATTTTGTTTCTTCAATTTTATGTTGGTACAATTTTAAATTTACATGCCTGTCTTTGTATGTATAGTCCACATAACATCCTTTTTATAAAACATACCCATATGTATTTATTTGAAAACAGAAACGTGGCTACTTACCGAGCAAGATGAAGAACTGCTTCTACAATATTAGATCCGTCTTTAGCACTTGTTTCACAAAATAGTGCATTATAAGTCTGTGAGTAAAAATAAAACATTAATCCAACTAATCTGAAATGGTTCCCATGTGAATATGTATATTCAATTACAAATGGTTTCCTCAATGACACAAAGAAAGACAACACACATTTAAATGAACAAGATTTCTTCTGGTACTCTTCATTCTTCAATATATTCACTTTAGTACTGTGAAAAAAAACCAGTAATTGCTTTTTAATAGTATCTTTTTTCAGTATATTCTCCATTAACAAACTGAATAAAAAACACGTCTTAGGCTTCACGTCCATACTCAACCTTCTTGTCCACAAGACTGCAAAATAGGAAGAGAGTTGCTATGACATGTTACTGAATCCAGCTTGTTAACTACTCATAAAGTACAGCATCTGGTATTCTAGGTTAACCAGAAATATCATTCCATAAGGAACAGACATGATCTCTGCCCCAGTATAATCAATGAATTGTGCAAGCACTCAGCAACTGAAGACTCTAAAGATTCTAAATTTTTTTCTGCAAAATATGTGCATCCCTTATCCCCCATATAAATATATGCAAAAACACTTGTCCATGGTTCTATGTATAGCGGAGTTCCTTTTTTCCTTCTGCAGACATGGCAGGAATACAAGATGAAAATAGTCTGTTCAAAAGCTGGACAGACACAGGCCAGACAAAAGCCTCATACGCTCACTAGTGTGCTTCATATCTGCCCTGGCAATTTCTCTTTGGCAGCAGAAAAACTCAGTCTCCTAGTCCATCCACTTCTCTACTGTAAAGCCTGAGAAGACTATCCCAGACAAGAATGAAGTTCAGCAAACACTGAGCTGTGATTCAGCCTAGCTAACACCATCAAAATAGGACTGTTTGCATGAAAAGTATCCATGAATCATAATTACTAGATTTGAGCAGATGACCAGAAAATTACTTTTGTTTACTATTTTCTCACGTGGTTTTCAGATTAAAGTTCTTAAGACCACTTTGTACTAAAGAGGTAGACTTGGACCTTACCATAGCCAGCTTTTCTCCATAGTTTATAGGCACACATTTTTGCCCTTGTTCTGTAACAACTTGACGGAGATCTGTTTTGTTTCCCACCATCATAATTGGAATATTCTCATGAGTTGCATCCTGTAAAGAGGATTTTATTTCCTTATTACTAGAACACTCAGAATACACAAAACTAACTAACATCATCATCTCATACTGATTTCCTTCCCACAAAAAAAGTCTTGTGCACTATCACAAAAAATGACAAATTATGAAAGTCATGCTGAGAACTTTCCATGAGCTAGTCGATATTTAAGCAGCCAGCTTAAACATCAGCCTGCAAAGATGTGTTTCCATTCCCATAAGCCCTGTCTCCCAACAAGGAATTTCATGTGCTAAATTAACCTAATGGAAATGGTTACTGTACGCAAATGCTATATAATAAAATTATAGGGAAAAAGTGACCGACTCCTAGACCAATTCCTGTACCATGATTAAAAGAAACAGCTTTCAGAAGATGTAAGATTTAGTTTATCAAGTTTCCTTCTATTAAACAGCTCTGGTACAAGAGAAAAACTCTTTTCATTAAATGCAAATTCGTATTCAAATAAACAAAGAAGCAATAGTAGAAAGAAATACTGAAAATTTTACTCGAACTATAGCTAATTTACAGAATGTAACATAGTGGTTTAAAAATAAAGACTCTAGGGAATACTCAAGCCATCCACAAGAGGGTATCTGAAATGGGGTGTCATGTTCCTTTCAAAAGGAAGTGAACTGTAAGAGAGTGATTACATGATACCCTTTTACACAGAAAGATGTATCAGTTTTAACACTAACTGAATACATCAGGACACATTTAGGACTTCCATGCAGCTTTTACTTTATGAGATACCGCAGTCTGGCTAATACTAATGTACAGATATTCAAATTTTATAAATAATAAGGTTAACAATGCAGTGAAACATAGTTTGTAAGTTGTATATACTTAAGGGTCTTACCTCAATCATATCCACCCATTCTCTCACATTAAGAAAACTTTTTTCACATGTTACATCGTATAGCAGTAAGACACCATCTGCTCTTCTGAAGTATGATTTAGCAATACTTCGGAATCTTTCAGAAAAAAAAAATTGCATAAGGCCATACTATCAAAAAAGAACTCAATTTAACATCATTAAGAATACAGCATTACTTTATTGCACTACTGAGTAAGATTCTCTCCACATTACAAGATGAGTTTTCACATAGCTTCTTTCATAAGTAGTTCTTGAAAACTCCTGATTCAGGTCTACAAATGCTCCATAAGGATCCTAAGCAGTAATCAACTTTTTTTTTTTTTATCCAAACACTCTACTATCTATTACAAATAATCTGCTTTGTACTGGACTTTCGATTAGGTGGCAAGGCTTTCTCACTTACATGTAACTTTACAAATTGAGTGGGTTACTCTGCTACAATTGAAAAAATATGAAACCAATCAACTTATTCAAGGAATGAATTCATCAGGTACAGTCATCTTTGCCATTAGCAGAACACAACCTACTTAACAACCAAGTACAGCCACTAGTTATTTACATTATAAATTAAAATATTCTTCACAAATTTATTATGTGGGAGGAGAATGATTTGGCCTCTGACTACCCACTTCACATAATCACTCATTCAGGCAAAAGTAAACACATACAGCCCGGTACAAATCTTGGTCAATGAACAGATTAAACTGACTTCCCAGGTGTTAGATTAACCTCTTACTAAGCCACAGAAGCAATCAGTAAAGAACTAATAGCTCTCAAGTAAGGATGTCATAGGATTTTGAAGAAACTCTACACAATAATTTGAAGAACCTTGGATATACATTCAGCAATCTATACAATTTTGCCATAGGTCTCTTTAAAGTCTTTGGGAAGAAGTTTTCGTATACTAAATATAATGCAAGTCAGGATCAGGATTTTCAAAAAAAGGACAAGGGTGAAGAGAAGGGAATCTCTAAGATAAAGCCTGCTCAGAAATACAGGTCTGTAAGGACAAAGAAAGCTGAAGACTAAAAATGGAAGAAACAAAGTACACCTACTCCATCTTTTTGTATTGCAAGAGAGAGACATACAGAATTAATTAATTAATGCTGTGGTGAACCTCAACTAGTTCTCTGTGCAGAAAGATTACCTCAGGCATCACCAAAGCTAACAAATATTCCAGCTTTCCTGGGGTCTCAGCAGAGCAAAATCACATCTGTTTATAGACATTTACATCTGGCCATATTGACTTACTATTGGGCGATATCATGTTTAGTGGATTTTTTTTCACCCAGGTGAAAAAAGGCAAACATCTTTTGGAAACAAAACAGTTGGAATTATCTAAGTGCAGAGAACCACTAACCTCTCCTGCCCGGCTGTGTCCCAAAGTTGTAGCACTGTAGGTTCTCCATCAACAATTAGTCTTTTCATTTGAAAATCCACACCTGAAAAGAATAATGCGTACAGTCTAATAAAAAACATCAGTAACTTTAAAAACCCCACAGAAAATGAGAAGTTATGTGCCTTATACAAGTTATCTCAAAATTCAACTCCTTTAATAGATTATGAGATTTCAGTTGTTCACATAGCCTTGAACTCAAATAATCCCCTGAACTTATTTGATTTGTCTTTAGAAAAACATTTAAAGAAATATTTTACCCATACATTTTCCAGCATTGATAAAAATTTGGCATTATGACTAGCAAACAAGATCTCTGCTTTATTTTGCTTTATGGAAGGAGAGAAAATGTTTTATAAAACATGCTTTATTTCAAATGCCAAGGAGGAAAAAGATAAATCAGAACAAAAATCTTGACTCAGAGGCAATAAAACAAATATTTAACTATGATTGGAAGACAGTCTTTGGAATCAGTAAGATAAGTTTGTTAGCTGACAGCTATAATAATATACACAAGTCAGTCAGCAATCCCTCCAGCTGCATCTAAACCAAAGCTTCAGTAACACTTTGAAGAAATGGAGACAAAAAATAGTATAAAAGACATCAAAGGACAGTATGATATACTATGGAAAGAGGAAAGAGCTGAGAAGACAAGAAAGCGATGAAAAATGCAAAAAGGATCATACATATTCTAAGTTCATTACATTGAAACTTGCTTTTCTGGTGCTTTGTGTTGTTCAGGAGCAGTACCCTATTATCCACTCCGAACAGCAGTTAGGCACTTCTAAGCTTTAGTACCCAATTAAATCTCACAGCCTGAGAAACTGTGTATGTATATTCAGGGAACCCTGGCGAACAATCACAGAGGGTAATCTTTTCACCCACTTCTGCGGCACAGCAATGAAATTTGCTTTAGTGTTTTAAGAACAACAACAACTATACCCAGGGTTGCACTGGTATTGCCTCGAAATTCATTCTTGCAAAGTCTCATAAGGAAACTTGATTTTCCCACTGCTGCGTCTCCAGCAAGAACAATCTTGTATGCCTTCTCTGAACTGGGATATTTCGGAGTACATTCGGTGGCATCTGACTGAAAATAAAAAGAACCCCTCAATTTCAACTCATATAAAAAACATGCTCTGTACCAGACACTTTTTTTTTTTTCCTAAAGAGCTGGTTACCTGAGGGGTGAGAGCAGATATGTATTTCCTTGTTGAAGCAATTGAGCTGCTTCGACTTACTGGTTGTGAGGGCTTCCAGTCTAATACCGCACTGCTGTTATCAAGACCATATGCTTCTTCATCCCTGATCTCTGGAACCTGAAAGTACAAGCTAGTGTATTAGCTCCACTGAGAAAAGTATGCTTTTTTGGAAAGGCACAGCCAAGACTGATTAAAACATTTGCTTTAAGAGTTTGGACTAAAGAGAGATAAATGACCAAATAGAACTGTGCAATTCTAGTCAAAATACTGTGATGATTCTGTTCTTATTCACATTTGTTGTTTACTATAGCCTACATTTGGTCTTTAAACATGTTTGCTGTTTGGCATACTTGCTTTCAGTACAGTTTCCAGATAGAGCAAATTAATTGCCATACTCAGCTTAAAAAATAATTAACATAAACAAATGCTTTTTTTCAAAGCTTATTTTACAA